CGATTCCGCCGCGGCGGAAATCGGGCCTCCAAAGCGGGGTTTTCCCCTCCCCCCGGCCCAATTTGGCAGCCCTACTAGTCACTCGCTCAGACTGGTGCATGAGGGATGGAGCGGCTATGGCAGATAGAAGCCGCCGCACCATTTGCTTCCTGCTTGCCCATCTCTTTCAGAGCTGAGCCATCATTGGCTAGCGGTCCCATGTGTCTGCTTTCTGGTGTGGGACAAGGAGGAGGCAGACGAGGCCATACCTAATTGGGCGGTGAGATTTGTGGGCTTCTTCCTGAGGGCTCTGAAAAGTTGGGGCTGGGCCTGTACCCACAGATTCTTCGCTGCATCAAAGACGTTCACCGTACCTCCCTCTCCACCAAAAATGAGAAGGGAGGCATCGCTGGAACTGTCAGAGTGTGGAGGGCCATGAGACAGAGGGAGAAAATTCTGGAAGCAACTCTGTATTCATTCTGAGGCTTCCAGCTAGATCATGGGGCCGTGAAGGGGGTAACGCCCGATGGCCAAGTGGAGATCCGGGCCTCAAGGTGGTAGAAAGGAAAGCCCTTTTAGAACAGCATCGGCTCTACAGCAGAATGGAAAGGCATTTTAATGTATACAAGCAGTGATTAGTAGGCAATAAATAGCTTACCAAGCCTTGCAAGACTTTTAAGCCATTCTTGCAACTGAGGCTGAAATAGATAAGCATCAAACTTCCTTAGGGATGCCAGCCTCCAGGTGGGACCCAAGGATCCCCTGGAATTACAGCTTATCTCTGACTAAAGGGATCAATTCCCTGGAGAAAGTGGATACTTTGGAGGGTGGACTTCATGGCATTGTACCCCACTGAGGGTCCCTGTCCTCCCCAGGTCTCCAGGAGTTTCCCAACCTAGATCTGGATAATTAGTTATCGCAAGGTGGTGATGGACTCCATTCTGCCAGTTCAGAAACTTCCTAGCTCCTGTCATCGCTCTGATCCTTCAAAGTTTGAGAAGTGACTGTGAGTAGTGGAGTAGAGGGGGGACTCTCTTAGCTAGGAACAGGCTGTTCAGTAAGCTCTCTCTTTCAAAGACCGTTGTAAAAAGAATGGAGCGGTTGCAAATCGAGGAAAATGAGGCAGTACTGCCTGGGAGTCTGAGCAGAGGCTCTGGAGTGCTCTTCTTTGCACGGCAGAAATTTGAGTACTTTTTAAATTTTCCGCTCGTGCATTTGAATCTTGCTAGCTGGACTGGGTGCAGTTTGCGTTGCATTCTTAGCTGCCCTTGAGTCTGAGGAGATAAGGTGGGATAGAAACATTTAAAATAAATAAATAGAGAATTGGTGGCATGCTACAAACAGATCTCTTTTGGGTAGGCTGAATGCTGTTGAGAGCCCAGGATGGTTGGCAGATGTTTCTTCAAAGGGAGCCAATGAGATGATAGCATGGGATCCCTCTGTCAAGAAGCCCGTCAAGACAGGGTAACACTAGTGCAGTTTTGGATAGGCAGAGGGGAAGAGGGAGAGCGGAACGTTTTCAGAGGGAGTAGCTGAAGCGGGAGAATGCAGCTTGGTGGCAGCAGCGGCTCTCTGGGGTTTTGGTGTTTGCTTCAAAGAATGCTCCCTTTGCCTCAAATGCAGTCTGTCGTCCCAGCCTGTAAATGAAACAAGTATTACAAAGACCTCAGTTTGGCTATTTATCTACTTGCAATTTCTTGCTTTCGAACTGCTAGGTTGGCAGGAGCTGGAACTAGAGATGGGAGCTCACTCCATCATGCGGCACCCGGGTCTCGAACTGCTGAACTACCGACCTTCCACAGCCTGCAGTTCAGCGTCTTAACCACTTGAGCCACTGCAGCTCCTCATACCCTGCCACATATTTTAAGGCATCTGTCTGTGTCCCATTTGGTGCTGAAGAGACATTCGACCAGCAGCTGACTTCTGTGTTTCAAGTGAAGGCTGCCATTTCTCCTTCCTCCTAGAAGGCCAAAAGTGCAAGGACCACAACCCAGTGGGACATCACCTGTTCAATGGGATGCAGATGAAATGCCTGAAAGCCCTCCACCCTGCCCCCCTTATATAACCTCCCTCAATGAAGAAGTCTAGTGAATTTGAAAGCTTGTACACAAGGGCCAGGTAATGCTGTTTGAAACCCAGGTTGTTTCACAAAGGATACTTGTCTGAACTTCTTGTAGGGTTGCCAGTCTCCAGGTGGGGCCTGGGGATCTCCCGCTTTTACCACTGATCCCCAGCCGACAGAGATCAGCTCCCCTGGAGAAAATGGCTGCTTTGAAGGGTGGACTCTATGGCATTGTACTATGCGGAGGCCCCTCCCCTCCCCAAACCACACCCTCTCCTGGTTCCACCCCCAAAGTCTCCAGGTATTTTCCAACCCAGACTTGGCAACCCTAACTTCTTGCTTAGTCATAATGTTGTTCTACCTACACAGTAGTGTGACTGGGAAAGAAAAATTAGCATTTTAAGTGTATAAATTTAGTTGATTGCATATAGGGCTCGAGGTGTACCAGAATGCCCAGGGAGTTAACTTTTGGATACTAAAAGGGTGAAGCTGCAGCTGGAAGAACTCATCTCGGTTTTGCACCCCAAATGCCCTGTCCCAAATAGGAAAAAACAGGGATGGTAGTTATTTGGTTCCAGAACACAGAGAACAACTCTGATATATAGACAGTTGGCACTCTTGTGATGCAGTACAGCCAAAATCTGAGCTGGTAAAGAATGCCTTAAGAAGAGATTGGATTTATACCCCACCTTTCACTCGGAGTCTCAGAGTGGTTTACAATCTCCTTTCCCTTCTCCTCCCCATAACAGACACCCTGTAAGGTAGGTGGGGCTGAGAGCTTTTTTGAGGACTGCCCTTGAGAGAGCACCTCTGAAATAACTTGTGACTGACCCAAGGTCACACCAGCAGTTGCATGTGGAGTAGTGGGGAATCAAACCCCCAATTCTCCCAGATTAGAGTTTGGCAACGCACATTATGGTTAGTATTATATAAAAAAAATCTCTGACAAGGCACGCATTTGTTCATGAGGCAGGGACCTGGTTTTTCGCGTGATTAATGTAATCACGACAGCTGGACGCGATTTTTTCCTGTTCCCCAGAAGTGTAACATAATAAAAAGGTACATAACCTAATAAGGGGCTACATATTGAATGCAAGAATGTTTCAACCGGAGAGGGCGCCAAGGAAAAAGCCTCATTCATTTTGCTCCAGCGTCTCGTCTTCGTCCACCTTAATAGCTTTCAACCCCTCGTTTCCATTTGCCCGGAGTAAACATGGATCCCTCCAAAAACATCCTCCCTCTTCCGGGCATTCAACATGGCGCCCCATTCCCAGCCTGCCCTCATGCAAAGCGCGGGCCCGGAGTAAATATGGCTTCTTTCTCCCCCCCCGTCCTGCCCTGCCCTGCCCTGCCCTGCGCTCTTGTCTCACTTGCCACATCTCTCCCTTAACCAAAATGGCGCCCGAAATACCCTCAGGAGCCGTGGCCCTTATGAAAAATGGCCACTCGCTGTATCACTATAGAGGTTTCCCGCCCTTTGCCTTTTCTCTGCCCGGCTTCTTTGGCTTCACAAAGATGGCGGCGGCGAGAGGCTTTTGCGGTCGTTTGAATTCCATCCCCGCCGCCAAACTCGGACAATAACAGCCAGTGTCACCGGCGGAGGAGTCGCAGCTGCCCGCCCGCCTGCCTTCCTCCTCCTCCTCACTCGATCGCCCGCTATGGACTCCTTCCCGGGGGAAGACCCCACCTTGCCTGTGGCGTTCAACGGCAGGTGAGGCGGGGACCGTTAGAGCCGTTGAAGTCCGGAGGGAGGGATGGAGGGAGGGAGGCGTTAACTCTTTCTTGCCCGGGCGCGGGATGCTAACAAAGAGGGACGGGCTTTGGAAGCGTGTTGAAATCGCCCACTTGTGGGGCTGGGGGAAAAGTGGGGAAAAAGGGGGGGGGGGGGGGGGGAGGAGCTAGGAAGTTTTCCCTTCTCTGGGGCGCCCTCGTTTGAGGGTTGCTCGCCTGACTGCCGAGGGAGGGACCCGACACCAAAAGCGGCGGCATCCGTGTCATGACTGAGCGAGGACCAAGTATTTTAAAGCCCTCGCGCAGCCTTTGCAGCTCCAGCTCTTCAGGAGGCGGGTTCTTAAAGTTTTTAGAAAGACGGAAAGGTGGCGAGCAGATTCTTCAGGCCAAGGGGTGGAGGTCTGGTCTGGCATCCAGCCTTCGAGCATCCCTGTATAAGGTGTGGAGAGAGCAGGTAGAGAGAACTCTCTCTTGCACTCTCCTGTAAGACTTGTTCTTCAGTCGCACAGATGAGCCCCCTGGACCACATCACGCCAGGCCCTCCTGTCTTCCGCTGTCCTATGGAGTCTTCTCAATTTCGTGTTTGTTGCATCAATAACACTAACCATCGCATCCTTGGCTGTCCCCTTCTTCTTTGACCTTCAGTATTTCCCAGCATCAGGGTCTTCTCCAGTGAGGGCTCCCTTCTCATTTGGTGGCCAAGGTATTTGAGCTTCAGCTTCAGTACCTGGCCTTCCAGGGAACAGTCAGGGTTGATTACTTTTAGGATTGACTGATTTGATCTCCTTGCAGTCCAAGGGACTCTCAAGAGTCTTCTCCAGCACCATAATTTGAAAGCATCTATTCTTCAGCACTCAGTCTTCCTTATGGTCCAGCTCTCGCAGCCATACAGTACTACTGGGAATACCATTGCTTTGACTATAAGACTAGGACTTGGAAATTCGGTTAGTGCACGGGTCAGTCCAGGTTTTTTTGTTGTTTGGTAAGATTAGCCTAACCTGAGGCTAACCTGATCTCGTCAGAGCTCAGAAGCTAAGCAGCGTCAACCCTGGCTAGTATTTGGATGGGAGACCTTCAAGGATTGAAACAAAAATGCATTGTATAGATAACGCAGACAGAAAAACGCCCAAATAGTATACAAAAATTAGTGGAAAACATTTCTATATCAAAGTGACACAATACTAGCAAAGAAATAACAAGAGACTACCTGTATCAACAATATAATACAAAAATACATTAAGTAATATAGAGTGTGCAGAAGAAACTGGCACAGAAGACACAGGGACGAAGACTCTGGATTTCAGTCTTCGTTTCGATAGCTCTTCTTCAATAACTTCATTTTACTTCATAAAATGCTCATAGTACACAGAAGCCTTTAAAACAGTATATATAGGCAAAATGTCCAATCCTTATATGAAAAAAGTCAAAACCGGGCAACCGATTGGCAATAGAACTTATTCTTGTATTATCAGCAAGCCTTCAAGGAATACCAGGGTCCTGACACAGAGACAGGCAATGGCAAACCATCTCTGAATGTCTTTTACTGTGAAAACCTCACAGAGTGAGTTGGGGTTGCCATAAGTTTTATTTAATTGATTGAATTTTTAGGCTGCCCTTCCCTGCGAGCAGGGCTCAGCGCAGCTTAGAACAGAAAGGAACATACAATAAATAACTAAAAGTTAAAAACCTACAGTAAAATATATGATGTTTGTATCAGCAAGATTCAAGACTGACTTGGGACAAAAAACCAAAACAAACAGATGCTAGATCTATGCAGCAAGGAGCAGAGGAAGAGAGAAGTTTAGCTCCAGGCCATGAAACGATTCACCTGCAGATTTCTACAGATCAGACATCTGGAGATAAGCGTTCTTCACCTGATAATGTCTCAAGCTTGCCTTAAAGGCACAGGAGCCTGGTTAAAAAAAAAGAAAAGAAAAAGTAACCCTGAGGATGTTTCAGAATGTGAAAAGAGCCTGGCTATTTTGTAGGGGCCATGCGATCTCATTCTATTAAATTTAATTTTTTTACCTATAGAGAACAAGTGTAGTGTAGTGGTCAGTGTGCTGAAGCATGATCTGGGAGATCCAGGTTTGAATCCTCACTCTGCTGTGGAAGCTCACTGGGTGACCGTGGGTCGCTCACACACTCTCAGCCTAACCTACTTCACAGCATTGTGAGTATAAAGTGGAAGAGAGGAGAACAATGTAAATCATTTTTAGGCTTCCATAGGGGAGAAGTAAGTCAATTATTTCTTCCAAGAAAGGGTGGCATACTTGCCTTTCCCTCTCACGGTTTATCTTCATTACCATCCTCTATGATAGGAGGATATTTGGCCACCAAATGAGAAGGGAGCACTCACTGGAGAAGACTGGGAAAGACTGAAGGTAAAAGAAGAAGGGGACGGCAAGGGATGAGATGGTTAGAGAGAGTTACTGATGCAACAAACATGAAAATAAGCAAACTCAGGAGGACCTGGCGTGATGTGGTCCATCGGGTCACAAAGAGTTGGACTGTGCGACTGAACAACAACAACAGGAAATGATAGGAGAGGCTGAGAGAGACTGTGATAGTGAAACTGGTACAAGATCACCCAGCGAGTGGGTTGCTTGGTGGATTGCAACACTCTTTTTTTTTTCCCTCCCCCTGCTTGTTTTTATAGTGGTCATCCAGATGCTTGTGGCAGTTAAGAAGAACCCAAGGCAGCTCATGAAAGGCAATAACTTTCCCTTTTTTTACCTTCCTCCTCCCCCAGCAACCATATTCAGAAGTAAACTGCCTCTTAACATGGCGGTACTATTTGGCTATTACTCCTAATAGGTACTGATAGATACATCTCTCATGAAATTATTTTGGCTTTCAGTTCACTGGATGGCAGTGGTTGAGGGATTAACTTCCCAGTGGAGGGAGAGAGGCTTAGTTTTCTGGAGCTTATTCAGATTCCTTTTTTGGGATTTGCAGTAGCAGGGGGATTAATCATCATTCCCACCACCTCTTTTGGGACATGATGTTGGAAGGTGGTGGGGCGTTTTGGAGAGGATCGGTGGATAAAGATCGCCCCGTGCAAATCCCAAATAGCGTCTGTTGAAAGTAACTATGATTAGAACCTTCTCAGGTCCCCACATCCTACAAATAGGGTTGTCAGTTGCCTGGAGAAAATATGTCTTTTAATAGAGGCTTAATGGGCAGTTCTTTACCTAATTATGCTATTCACCTCCACGCCATGAAAACTTCTTCTGACCATTTCCACTCATGAGACTTCAGTGAAAAGGGAAAGGACATTTTTCTCCAGGCCTGTTGGCAACCGTACCTACAAACTTTGCTTCTGGCAGATTGCCCAGTAATGTGCCATGGTGGAGTGTTGAGCACAAAAGCTTGTTTAACTCCCTGTCCACTCAGGCGGGCGGCTGCTTGGCATGACACCGATTTCCTGTGCAAAGACACCTCTGGAGAAGGAACTGGCTGTTACCGCCTCCCACAAATAAATCTTCAAAAACTTCTAACCCTTCTGACCATGCGTGGCAATTTAGCTATATACGATGTTAAAATAAAAATGAACTTGTTTTTTTGAAAACTTTTTTGTCTCATTCTTACCACTAAGTCTGTTAGAGCACACCCTGATTCATAAATGACAGATATGGAGAGACTGTCAGATGTGTTTTTAGGAGATGTGGCTGGGTGTCTTTGAACACTGAACCATTTCCTTCCTGCAGCACCAGACAGCAGGTAAAGGGACCGGGAGGGAGGTTGTTATAGCCTCTAAGTCATTGCAGGGGCTTCTGAAGTATTCATGGGGGCTTGCCCATCAGCTTCAGAGAGTCAAGAAGCAATGGTATGCCACTGCAGCTGGGAAGACAGGTTTTCTCAGGCTCCTCTTCCCTGCCGGCTGCCTGCACTGTCAGACACAAGGATCTAAGCTGTTGCTGTGTCCACAAAACTTGTGAAATGTGGCAATTGGCTGTTCTGAACCTTTCTGCCCACAAGTTGGTGGCCTTTTGTGAGTCACTTCCTCTGGTATTTTGGTCCTGGGCCATTTAAGTCTTTTTAAAGTGTGAGAACCAACACCTTGAATTGCAGAGAGCTGGCAGTGTTCTTCTAATGCTGGTGTACTTCCGCCTACTTCCGTTCAGTAGTAGGGCTGCCACAGAGCATACTGCGGTCATCTGAATGCAAAGTTTGCGTGTGTGTGTGTGTGTATGGTAGCAGTACACGTGTGGCAGCAGCCTAATTGTCTTCCTCCACGAGAGGAAGCAGATGTTTTGAACCAGCTGCTGCTGACCACAGATGCCACTTGGGCAGCCAGGAGTACCTTCAAGCTGCTGCTCTGCTCTTTCAGGTTTCCTCGCCTCCTGAATAAGCAGTCCACCTGTCCTGAAGTCAACCAGGTCCTCTGCCACTTACATCTCCATCTCATGAGGCTCAAGTTTAAGCTTCTTCCTCCGCATCCGGTCACTTACCAAATGCACACAGATTTAGGAGCTCATTGGAGAAAGAGAGCCAGATGCCCTCAGCTTAGTGATGATACCGCAAACTCTTCTAGAAGTTGTGTGCAGGTGTTTAAAGAGATGAACCTTGAAAATGCTAAAGGTCCCCCCCCCCCCCCCCCGTCGCAGTAAACCAGGGAGTCCAGAAAGAGAGCTGATGGAGTCAAAAGCTGCTGTGAGATCCAGGAGCATCTTGCACACCCCCTGTTATGTTTCAGTGGCTGTCTCCAGGCAAGGCAGTTCTGGTCCAAAAACTAAACCAGGAGATAGACTACAATAACTTTGGACCAGCCACTCTGAGACTCTTGATAGTGTACTGTCTCCAGGTGGCATAGATGTAAGTTCTAGAATGATCTCAAGATGATTTGGGAAACATACATGTGAGAAGGCATGGGAAGACACTGGACAGATGTACATGTCTTCTAAATGCCTTCAGTTGAACTGTCTTTCTTCTTCCCTAGTGTCAACATTTCCCAACTGCCAGATGTCTCAGGAGATGAAATTCGTATCCCTCTGGGAGGTGGCGGAGGTAAGAGTATTGTAAAGGCTTCTGCTTCAACAGGAAAGTGATGAACTATGTCTATGTATTAAGTTTTAGAAGAAGTAATTGGAATGTTAGTTCAATAACAGTTGGTGTAAGAAAGGATGTCTGAAGGGTTTCCCTAAGAAAGGACAGCCGGCGAGCCCTCAAGGCTTTTCACAGTCTGGGTAGAATATTGGCCTCTAGCAGCAATGTTCCCTCTAAGCTGTGGAATCTTATGAGCAAAAATTCCACTTTGTGAGCTACTGGCATTAAAGTTGTGAGCGAGCAATTTGGCTGCTGCATAAATTAGTTTGCCCTGGAGCCATCCTTCCTGAGCTAAGACAAAAAAGCTGTGATTTGGAGGCTAAAAAACTGAGCTAGCTCACACTAACTCAGCTTAGAGGGAACACTGTCTAGCAGCAGTTAAATACTTGGTAACTCCCCATGAGTAAGGGTGTCCTGGCGTAACCATTTTCTAAAAACTGTGCCCCTTGCTATAATCAGGGGCATTTAAAGTGTGATGTGATACATCTGCTATGTGATATGCCATTGGGAAAACTTCTGCTAATTAAACATCTATTATAGCTGTGCTGGTATGACCAGCGTTTGTCAGTTAAGATACTGCTGTTCAAAGCCAAACTGGTCAACCTGTCAAACTAGCAAGCTGCAGCTGGTTAAAACAATTGCCTTTCCCTTCAGCCCTCTTAGTCTGCTCTCTTGGCATACAGAAAGAATGGAGTCTTTAGTGTCTGACACTGCTTGCTGTGGGAAAAAAAGAATCATAGTTATGCAGGCAGCTTGCAAATGGACCTCCGACAGTCATTGGCCCACAATTGAAATAACACTGACTTTGTGTGACACGTGATGGGTTTAACTAGGTGATCTTGTGGTAGCTTCCAGGCCTGTACAATTTTATGGTTTGGTGTTCTGTAGCTTGTAAGTCTCCCCCAACCCCTCCAATAATTGACGATTCCCAGTGTTACCAAAGCCCTTGACTCTTGAATGCTGCCTTTTAGTTTCCTTCCCGAGTAATTTATTTATGAACCTCTCAGTATGCACTGAGATGTAGTCGGTTATCTAATAATTGCAAGTGTAAGGTCTCTAGTTCAGGCGCGAAGCCAGAGCACAGCCATAGATAGCATGCCTCCATTCCTGAGGATTGGAAGGTAGCTAATGTCACTCCCATCTTTAAAAAGGGTTCCAGAGGAGATCCGGGAAATTACAGGCCAGTCAGTCTGACGTCGATACCGGGTAAATTGGTGGAAACCATTATTAAGGAAAGAATTAGTAGGCACATAGATGAACAAAACCTATTGAGGCAGACTCAGCACGGTTTCTGTAAGGGAAGATCTTGTCTCACTAACCTGTTAGTGTTCTTTGAGGGGGTGAACAAACATGTGGACAAGGGGGATCCAATAGATATTATTTACCTTGACTTCCAGAAAGCTTTTGATAAAGTTCCTCATCAAAGGCTCCTAAGTAAGCTCAAAAATCATGGGATAGAAGGACAAGTCCTTTTATGGATCAAAAACTGGCTAGTTCATAGAAAACAGAGAGTGAGTGTAGGTGGGCAATTTTCTCAGTGGAGGGTGGTAAGCAGTGGGGTACCGCAGGGATCAGTACTTGGTCCACTGCTTTTTAACTTGTTCATTAATGATTTGGAGATGGGAGTAAGCAGTGAAGTGGCTAAATTTGCGGATGACACAAAGTTGTTCAGGGTGGTGAAAACCAGTGAGGATTGTGAGGCACTCCAAGGGGATCTGTCAAGGATGGGCGAGTGGGCGTCAACATGGCAAATGGGGTTCAATGTGGCCAAGTGCAAGGTGATGCACATTGGAGCCAAAAATCCTAAATATAAATACACATTGATGGGGTCTGAACTGGCAGAGACTGAGCAAGAGAGAGATCTTGGAGTTGTAGTGGATAACTCACTGAAAATGTCGAGACAGTGTGTGACTGCAATAAAGAAGGCCAATGCTATGCTGGGGATTATTAGGAAGGGTATTGAAAACAGATCAGCCAATATAATAATGCCCCTATATAAATCAATGGTGAGACCTCATTTGGAATACTGTGTGCAGTTCTGGTCACCACACCTTAAAAAGGATATTATAGCTTTGGAAAAAGTGCAGAAAAGGGCAACTCGAATGATAAAAGGGTTGGAACACTTTCCCTATGAGGAAAGGTTAAAGCGCTTAGGGCTCTTTAGCTTGGAGAAAAGACGACTGAGGGGTGACATGATCGAGGTTTATAAGATTATGCATGGGAAAGAGCAGGTAAAGAAAGAGGTACTTTTCTCCCTTTCTCACAATACAAGAACTCGTGGGCACTCCATGAAACTGCAGAGCGGTCGGGTTAGAACGGATAAAAGGACGTCCTTCTTCACCCAAAGAGTGATTAACACTTGGAATTCACTGCCACAGGAAGTGGTGGGTGCTACAAGCATGGATGGCTTCAAAAGGGAATTAGATAAGCATATGGAGCAGAGGTCCATCAGTGGCTATTAGCCACAAGGTATAGCTAGGGGCTCTGGGGCAAGTGATGCTCTGTCTTCTTGGTGCTTGGGGGGGGTCAACAGTGGGAGGGCTTCTAATGTCCTGGCCCCACTGCTGGACCTCCTGATGGCACTGGTATTTCTGGCCACTGTGTGACACAGAGTGTTGGACTGGATGGGCCTTTGGCCTGATCCAACATTGGCGTCTCTTATGTTCTTATGTATCCCTCAAGGCTGAAAAATAGTAGAGGAGAATTGTTCAGTTTGCATGGTGTTCCATGTGCCATGGGTTTGTGTGTTCCCCTCATTCAGTGATTCCTTATGCAACATCCAGATTGCTGCATTGTTTACCATGATGTCTGAATGCAGCAGGCTATGGTTAATGTTAAGTTTTGAAACGTCAAATTGTTTGGTTGTTAGCACTATGTAATAGGAAATTTGGAACAAGAGAGAGAGGGGGACTATCCGAAATGGAGCCAATGCTTTTCACTAGTACTAGTGTAAAAATATTTCAGACTTCCAGGTGAGTTTTACAGCCTTTGATTGATTATTAAGAGACATATTCTTATTGTCATCAGTTCTGCAGCCTTTTGAGGTACAAAGCTATTATTTTTATTGCAGAAGCAAATTAGGATCTGAGGTTGAGAAATGTTCAGGGTTGCCCAGTGAGCTTCATGCTTGGGTGGGGACTTGGATTTTGGTCTCCCCCAACCTAGCCTGAGATAAGTACCAGCTGCAGCTGCATTTGTGCCGCTACTGCAGTTTGGGTAACTCTTCCATGCAGTTTCACTCTGTTGCTGTGCCCAATGGGAGAGGAAATAAGGTGTGGCAGAAACACAGGTATATGAGAGCCTGTCATAGCATGGGAATCTTGGGATGCCTTAGATGACTTTCTTTGAATGATCCTCCTTGAGTGGGATATGTTCTTAGTGTTGTTTTACTTGGTGTCCGTTCTGCTTGCACTATGGCAGAATCCTGACCTAAAAGGAATAGGGGAATGAAATTACTATGACCCATTGATTGTACAGGTAGACCAGAGACCAGTGTAGTAGAGGATTTATTTATTTACTTCATTTTTACCATACTATTCTTCCTAAGAGGAAACCAAAGTGGCTTACAACAAAGCCAATAGTGGCAAGATCAGCATTAGATGAACAAGCCTTGAGAGTTTCTCCCTACACACTGCCTCTCTTTGCTTGAAAACTAAATGCTTCCATAGTGAACCATAGTTTTGATGTTTAATCTGAATTGCAATCTATCATTTTTTCTTTTCCTTCCATACCAGGTTTCAAAACTACATTTTAACTTTGAAATTGTACTACGGAAGGAAGAGAACAAACCATAGTCTGTGATTTGGGGGGGGGGGAGAAAAACTATGCTTAGTTATAGACGTGACAGTGTTTAATTTTTAAGTCCTATTCTACAGAGTATGAATATATCTGCTATTTCTGGAGTCAGAATCCCTTTCAATGGATTTCTTAAATTTGTAGCATTACCGGATGTGGCGGAAGTTTCACCCACCAGAGCACGGACCATGAAGGATTTTGAAAACGTAAGTGAACCATAATCTCTAATTTGAGAAGTCTGTTACAGTTTTAATAAGATGGTTTGCAACATACTGGAGAAGGTATTTGTGAATGTGCAGTTAAATGATTACTCTACCCCCCTTCCACTCCTCCCCGAGTTGAGATCGCATATACAGCTTCCACTGTGTTCTTATAAAACAAGATTCTCATTTTTTTCAGAGTCACAGTGTTCTGAAACCATACCTTGTGCTTTGTGGAGTAACAACGTTTGTTAATAGTTTGGAGTGGAATCAGATTTTGCTTAAATAAACAGTTGAGGGAAAATGGCTGCCTTGGCTTATGGTTTAAATCGGGGTGGTGGATTTGATGCAATTATTAATAGGCTGATAGAATTGCTGACCTTTGGTTGCTTTAAATGATACTCTTAGAGCCATATATGCTTCACACCCACTGTATGTGACAGGGGATAGAAACAGTACCCAATGTAAAGGTAAAGGTTCCCTTGCTCGAAAGCCAGTCGAATCCGACTCTAGGGTTGCGGTGCTCATCTCCGTTTCAAAGCTGAAGAGCCAGCGCTGTCCGAAGACGTTTCCGTGGTCATGTGGCCGGCATGACTAAACACCAAGGCGCACGGAACGCTGTTCCCTTCCCACCGAAGTGGTCCCTATTTATCTCCTTGCAATTTCTTGCTTTCGAACTGCTAGGTTGGCAGGAGCTGGAACTAGAGATGGGAGCTCACTCCATCATGCGGCACCCGGGTCTTGAACTGTTGAACTACTGACCTTTCACAGCCTGCAGTTCAGCGTCTTAACCACTTGAGCCACCGCAGCAATGTAATTGTATCTTATTATTTTGAAGCTGCCTTATATCAGGTCAGGATGTTGGCCCACTTAGTTCAGTACTGCTTATTTTGACCAGTAGTGGTCCTTGAAGGTCTCCAGAAGGTCTTTAGCAACATCTGCTGGAAATGGCAGGGATTGACTTAGGGACCTTTTGCTTGCAAAACATGCTTTGCCAAGGCGTGTCCTGAAAATACTTCCACAAAATGTTATGTGAACTTCCTCTGGATCAAAAGATAAAGCAGGGCGCAGGTATTCTACACCAGCTTCCCGTACAACTGGCACCCTGAGTAAAGAGTCATCTTCCTGACAGTGCTGCTCTATGTCCAGTATGGCTTCTATGGAGTATCCATGTGAACACTGTCTTTGTACTGCTGCTCTTTGGAAGAAGACTAGTGGTTGAGTTTAAGATAGTCCTAGGATGCAGTCCTCCCCTGCGTGTGCATAGCTCCTAGCGAGGACACAGTTTCCACAGGGCTGCATAGAATTCCCTTTCTCCTTCCTGCCCCAGCATATACATGCATAGCTTGCCAAGGGCATGTTGGGAAATGGGTATTCATCGAGCACCTCCCGGATTCCCATCTGACCCTCACTCTGTGCTCAGATTGCCTCCCACCAGGAAACACACTGTGTCTTTCCCCACACAGTAGGGAACTCTGCTGAGAAACGGGTATATCATCTGGAATCCTCAAGTTGTACAAAGTCATTACAAAAGACAGACAGTGCAAAATGACAGTGTTTAGGGCTCCGGAGTTCGAATAGGCGAGATTCAGAAGTGCTGCCTAAGTAAGGCACTTGGTAAAGCATCTCAGATGATTGCGTTTACGCCAGTCAATTGAGTGGTTCTTAGATCCATGGCTTTCTTAAGGTGACAAATTTCATACATTATTTAAATGTGCCTGCTAATCAGCCGCTTGAAAATTAAGAGGTTGTTGCAGATAATTAGCATTCCCAAGTGACTGACTGATTGCTGTTATTGTATAAACTGGAGTTTGTGAGGAGGCAAATGAGATTAAGATCATAACCTTTTAAAGGCTACATACTGCTGGTTGTTCTCTTGTGTTCTCCGAAACGTCCACATTCTTTACCATGGATAACTCACCCCAAGCATTTTTAGGGCTGCTTTTGAGGCCCTATTTGGGATACTTAAAAAAAAAAATTGATTATGAAAACTTGTGATCCACTAGGAACATGACATGGATCTGCTCTGACCTGGTAGAATTCAGGAGGTTCATTTGTTCCAGTGACTTGCCTCCTTCCAGAAACAGAACAAAACACTTCTGTTCCAGCAGGACCTTAGAAACAGGAATCTGGTTCACTGGGATTGATTTGCATTGAGGAGCGATTCTGCTGCAGTTGACCAGCTGGCTTGTTAATTGCTTGTTTGTTTGATTTATTAGTGTTTCATGGGTTAGGGTTTTAAGCTGCAAACTGATCTGCAAAGGAGATAATTGAGAAGTGGTGTACAAATGCTGCAAGGAAAATAAATCCCCAGGTCAGATCACTGGAATCATTGCTCTAAAGGTGTTTGTTCATTTTTAAAAAATCTTTATTTTCATTATTACAGTCCACCTTTCTCAGTGAACAGCAGGGGTAGGAAAGGCTGCTGCCATTCAGCCTGCACAATGGTGGTTTGTGATGCGTCAGTGGCCTTATATCCTGTGAAAACCACTTTTTTATTAATTCAGAAGTAGGGCTACCAAGTACTTACCGTGAATTGGCGAGGGACGTATAGTTCTTGGCGGGAACATTCCCGCGGGGAAAGCACAGGCGCTGCACTATCCTGTCGCCCAGACATGACATGGGCATGCAGCCGGAGGCTCTTGCAGTGGGGCTGAAAACTTGATGGCACCATCGAGTTTCCAGCTCCATTGCCAGAGCGTCGCCCGGCTACGTGCCCAGCGTGCTTACGTCATGTTTGGGCGACAGGATGGTGCGACGCGGCCATGTTACATGCAAGAATGTTCTGGCGGGGAAGCATGTGTCCCTCGCCGATTTGTGGGTAGGTACTTGGTAACCCTATTCAGAAGTAAGCCCCACTAAACCCTGGCCTGGGTGACTCCGGTAGCTTGTTCTCGTCAGGTTGGCCCTGGTTAGCACTTGGATGGGAGACCATCATGGAAGTCCAAGGTTGTAAACAAAGACAGGCAATGGCAAATCACCTCTGAATGTCTCTTGCCTGGGAAACCTCATGGGATTGCCGTAAATTGGCTGTGACCTGATGACACTCCTCATCACCAAGCCCCATTAAATTATGGGATTTACTGTGAAGTAGAAATATTTTGGGGCCGCGGTGGCTCAGAGGTTAAGACGCCGAGCTGCAGACTGGAAGGTCTGTCGTTCTGCAGTTCGAGACCCGAATGCCGCGTGACGGAGGCCGCAGTGTCCCCTCTAAACTGAGTTAGTATGAGCTAGCTCACAGTTCTTTAGCCTCTGACACACATTTTTTGTGGTAGCTCAGGAAGGACGGCTCCAGGACAAACTAATTCATGCAGCGGCCAAATCGCTGGCTCACAACTTTAATGCCAGTAGCTCACAAAGTAGAATTTTTGCTCACAAGACTCCCCAGCTTAGAGGGAGCATTGATGGAGTGAGCTCCCGTCTCTGGCCCCAGCTCCTGCCAACCTAGCAGTTTGAAAGCAAGAAATTTCAAGTAGATAAATAGGTACTGCTTCGGCGGGCAGGTAACAGCGTTCCATGCACCTCGGCGTTTAGTCATGCCGGCCACATGACTGTGGAAACATCTTTGGACAGCGCTGGCTCTTTGGCTTGGAAACGGAGATGAGCACTGCCCCCTAGAGTCGGATTCAACTAGCTTTTGAGCAAGGGAAACCTTTACTAGTAATATTTTGCATTTATATAGTGCTCTCAGCATTCCAAGTAGATCAGGCGCCCTATCTTTGTGTGATCCTTACAAGACAAGCCAGTATTTTCATCCTGGTGTTGAGAATGGGGAGAGGGAGGAGCAGGCTGCTAAGGCCCCCCGCTGAGTTTGTGGCAGAGGCAAAAATTGAACTGGGCCGTACTACACTGCCTCCCGGTTAGTAACAGCTTGACAGGATTGCAGCTTTTGTTGCACTTCTGCCTGCGCAAGATTCTCAAAAGTGATTGGGGCACCTTCCTGTTTTTAATGCTTTACAGCTGAGCTTACTCCAGAGGAGAGCTGAAGGCTGTAAAGCTCGGGCTCCCCATGCAGCATTGTTAACTTCTCAGGTTGCACGTTCTAATAAAGCCGACTTGCCTGTAACCTCTATACCTGTTCCATCGCTTTCATTCCACAAAGGGATGGGCATCAATATTTCATTGGCGTATTCAGTTCCTCCACTTGGAAAGCATCTGGCAGGTTGTGAGGGAAGAGGAAGGGGGGCGGTTTTATTTGAATGAATGTTTCATACTTGCTCACTTAAAAATTTAAAAGGCCTTTCTCCTCTTCTCATGAAATTCTCAAAATATTTCACTCTCTTCCTGTGGGAAGGTAAAATACTTCATGCTGAAGGACAATTGGACACACCTTGTCTTCAGTGCTGTTGACTGCCTTTTGTGGCAAACAGCTGACATCTGAAGTCATCAAAGGAGGAAGACTGAACTAGATGAAGTCCTGGAGGAACAATGAAAGGATCTTCCCAGGGTGTTCTTTTTTAAAAGGGAGCTGTGCAGAGCCCTGATCTGTGTCAAGATTATGGTTTGGGAAGAAGGAGTTAAATTCATCCCTTGCCCCTGTGGCTTTGCCTTGAATGCCTCCCAGCTATTTTTATCCATGGAAGGGGAAAAACAAAACAAAGAGAGGGTGACCAAAATGAGCACTTCATCCGCCATCTTAAATTTTGAAAGGGGTAGCAGTCACTGCAACCAGTGACTCTGAGAGTATTCCCAGCTAAATGGACATCTAGCACTCTGTACCTGCATTGCTGTTTAGAGGCTCTGCCTAGTTGCCGCACCTCCTGCTTTGCTCGTACAAGCTAGTGCAGGGGCGATCTGCTGCAGCTTCACAATTTCAAGCTATTGTGCTCCAAGGATGGTGAGCTTACTTGGTGTGTTTCCAGAGATCAAGTTTAGAGCATTCAAAATATAAGGAAGTTTATAAATGAATAAAAAGAGTACACATCTTTTCAAGCATTTAGGCTGAGCAAGGGTAGAAAGAAAAGGTGAAAACACACAGCCCATTTCCCCTACACTCTGTATTTATT